GTTTAGCCTGTAAGGTGTAAAAAAAAAATAATAATAATAAAAAAAAAATTTAACCGATTAATCGAATCGAATCATATCGTTGTGTATTCTTGAGTAACGAAAATAATCGAATCGTTGGGTCAGGAAATCGATACTGAATCGAATCGCCATGATGGATGTGATTTACACCCCTATACCGTAACCAACTTTTTCTAGTTATAGTATAACTAGAAAAAGTTAATGTAACTTTTATTTATCTAAAGCATGATTCCTGTCATGATTCTGCCATTTGTGGACTTCTGTGTAAGTTTCTCTTTAAGTTCTCAGTTACACTTTAATTGATGTTATTCTGTGTTTTCTGGATCGTTTCTTTTCCATTTTTCTGATATATTTCAGCGTGTTTTATTTTTTAAGTTACTCTCTGTTGCCCCCTTGTGTCATTTTCCTTTCCCTTAGCTCCTTCTAGTTACTTCTGTCTACACCTACTCCCTACACCTCCCCTTGGGAGTATTGGCCTGATGGTTAGAGCAGTGCGCTTGTGCTCTGAGAAGGTTGCAAGAACCCGGTTCGATCCACACAGCCTCCACTGTGGGTCCCTGAGCAAGACCCTTAACCCCACACTGCTCCCCGGGTCCTGCACAATGGCAGCCCACAGCTCCCCCAGCGGAGGGGTTAAAAGCAGAGCTAAATGTCTCCAATATGAGATCAATCAAGTTCAATTTCTATCAGCTAATTATTCCTGCCATTGTTTGTCTCCAATATATACACCTCCTATTCAGTTACTCCTTACTGGATCCTCCTCATTCTTTTGGTTTTCTCCTCCCTCATGTCTCCTAGCTTTTTTTGGTTCTCCAGTTGTAATTGTTGACCAGTTCTGAATTTTGTATTTTTTATGTTTTTTCATTGGATCTGCAAGAAACCACCAAAGCTTCCGTTTCTGGATTTGGGTCCTATGAAAGCTTCACACAAATATCATAAAACTGTAAAAAATTGCAAAATTAAAAAAAAAAATATGCCCAATTAAGTAACAAAGAAAACCATTTAAAGGGATAAATTAAGCAACTAAATACTGACAATGACACTTTAATTTATTAAAAGATAAGATTTCAATATTTCAATTTTTAAAATCAAGATTTCAAGTAGTCCACTTCAATATTTTAACTTTATCTTGAAAAAAATTAATCACTACCCCTAACAAAATAAAAGCTTCCCAAATAACTGTGCTTAAATATAAATTAAAGTTGAGAGAATGACAGAGGGTGATTCTCTGAGGAATGCTAAGTTAGAAAAGATCAGTGGATAAGATCTGCTTCACATCTAAATGTCGGTCGATCACTAATCTCCCAAAATTAAGGACATTTTAGCCAATCAATTGGTTCATCCCTACTTTTTACATTAACATCCTGCATGTGTTCAGGTATAAACGCTCTGACAACCAGTCGCCTGGAACGCTCATTGATCAGAGCATCGCTTTGGACAGATACGCTGCACAGGTTTCACCAGTAACCTCCTCCTCACACCCCGCTCTCTCTTGTTGTTCCTGCCCAATTAAAGTAGTTCTAATCCGCACATGATGCATGAATTATTGCCTACCCGCTCCCACTCGCTTTAAAGAAACACCACCTCCCTTAGTCTAAAATCCGGGATAATTTATCCGACTTGTGAGCATCAGTGAACAACTATCTATATCAGGAAGACTCCCAGAACTTCCGGGAGACTTGGGATGTCTGCATTATTTTCTTTATTTGTTATTTATTGTTTAATGTAATGCACCAAAAGGCATCTCTCTAACTATCTATAAATATACACTCACCGGCCACTTTATTAGGTACCCCATGCTAGTAACGGGTTGGAC